GACAGAAAGGCAGATGTGGCAGTGGAAGGTGTCAAAGCAGTTTGGAGAGAAAAACAAAGTAAAGAACAAAAAAACAAAACGATTAATCGATTATTAAATTAGTCATCGATTATTTTAATAACCGATTAGTCATTGATTAATCGTTGCAGCCCTAAACACGTCTAACATGATCGCATCTCCAGGTAAAGTTTATGCTATCTTTGAACGAGCTAACTTTAGCATCAGCTTGTGAAACATTTCACCGTGTTGTTTCGGTTTAATGCGTTGATCACAGCTTGTCTGCAAAACTGTCGAGTTGTTGGATTGTGTATTTGATAAGTTTTGAGTGAAAGGCTATAAAACTGAATGCCTCCTTTAGCCGAGCAGCTCGTTAGCTGAATGTGCGTTTCATAAACACGCATTCATAGTAGGTTTGGGCAGCACAGGCAAAAAAAATTAATCACAATTAAATGTTGTATTTAGTCAATAATGATTAATATGACGATTAATCACCTGGAGTCCCTGGAGACCCTCATACCCTAGTCATATGACCAATTTAAATCACTCTAGTGGGAAAGATTTGCTCTCCATAAACATCTGTTCCAAATTGTGTCAAAACTACAAACTTCAGGCTTTACATCAAATCTTAAATTGTGTTGATAATAGACCAAGTAAAACCAGAGTTATGATAAATAAATTATAGAATTATTTGAGGAACATGGAGTGGACTGACTGAGGAAATCTAGTCTGTCTGGTGGCTTTAATCGTATTAATCGTCAAGTGCCAAAAAATAATCGATTAAAGTTTTTCCGACAATTAATTGCACACGATACGATTTTGCCCAACCCCAATTCATAGTTGTGATTCCTTGTTTCTGTGTGCATATAATTATATAATCTTTATGCCAAAAACCCCTTTGTCATTTAAAGCACGATAAAAACTTGATACATTACTTCAATAAAGAGACTTGTCATGCAGTACACACTGATTTGTCTTAAATCAGTAGAAAACCAGTTATCTTACTAGATGTAAACTTTATCAGGATAAACTAATTGCATTAGGTGCTAAAAATCCTGAGTACAGATGCACACAGGTAAATCAAATTTCAGCATAACATCTCTGAGATCTAAAAACAGCTTCCAAATATATTTAAAGTTTAATATGATAATAGAAAAGTTATTTTATTTTTTGTTTTTAAATACAAACTTCAAAACAAACTTTTTAGAGCTGTAATAATAATACCGTCATACCACGAAACCGTGACATTTTTGTCCAAGGTTATCATATCGTCATAATTTCATACCGTCCCATGCCTACTGACAACTAATTATCTTTAGTTTATAAAAAGCTAAAATAGTTGCCTGTTTGTCCACTGTAACAGGAGAAACATCCTGAGGACTGGAAACCAAGCAGACCTGTCAAACTGATTTTAAYAGTGACCACAACAACTGACCTGTCTGTGCTACTTTACCTGCTTTAAACACTGTTAGTTGTGTAGATGTTATGAAATGAAGGAATGAAATCAGACATGTTCCTGAAGTGCACAGTTCTGCTCAGCATCACTCCATCGTTTTTATAAACCTCTCACCTGCTAGTTTCTCCCACTCGTTTTTTGTTTAAGATCTTGAATGTTTGCCGAGTTCTGGTCCTCAAACAATGCTGGGAAACTGCTCCACATTGAWTCTTGTTGCAGACCTTCTACATTGTGTACATTATGGATGCTAATGAGCAGGACTGTACATGTAAGTTAGAACAGTATTCTGTCTTAAATAGATGGTTTTTTTTAATCTTATTGAAGATAAAGTTTGAGTGTTAAAACTAAACTAACAATCAGCTCATATTATTTTACTGCACATCATGTCTCTGTTCTGATTCCTGCAGCACCAACTCAGAATCTGTCAACATGCTGCTCAGTATCGCAGCACATTAAAAAGCCCAGGAAGCAGCAGCTGCTCCACACCTGTCACATGTTAGTGTCTAACCTGTTGCAGGAGAAGCAGACTTTAACAGGAAGTGGGACCAGGCCGTTTGGATCCAGTTCATGCTGAGGCCTCCTGAACGGTTTCCCTAGCAGCTCTTCTTTTCTCCTTCGTTTACTGCTGCCTGGAAAACCAAAACACACCAACACACATCAGCTCAGCTGGATGACAGTACATGTACTGTAGTACAAATACACACAGTAACACTGGTCGTTACTGAGAGGCAGGAATGATTTTTACCCAGTCCTTATTCCATCACACCTGATTCATCTTCAGATCCTCATGAGGTGCRGTGTTAGTCAGAGGTTTGGACTCACCTGGCAGTGCCGTGGTGCAGGTGAGCTCAGTGGGCAGCTGAAACTGGGTGGGGTTCCTCTCCATGGCTGCAGCTATGAGGAGCTGAAAGGGCCTCTTGAGGAGGCGCGGCGTCGGAGCTGACGGTGGCGCACACTCGGGCTCAGCTCCTGGAATGTCGTCCTCTGGTTCCGCCACCTCCTCCTCCCCGTCGTTCTGCTCCTCCGAGGGGGTCGGGGTGGACGAGGTGTTGGACGTGGGAGTCCCAGGACGGCTGCTCGGCCTGCTGCTGGTCCGGCGCTCCAGGAGGCGGACCTGTGCCACTCTCAGGCCGGGACCCGCCGCTCCGGCACCCGGAGGCAGCCCGTCGAGCCGCAGCGGGCCGGCGCTGAGCTCCAGCTCCATGGCGGGGGATACGGAGCGCTTAGAGGAGGAGCGCTCTGGTAGGCCGTTAGTCTGCTCGTTCTTCTGCTCCCGCTTCTGACAACAAACACAAAACAACAACAAGCTGTCAGCCCGAGCAGCAAAAACTGTGTGACATCACACAAAAACAGGAAGTAATTTAATATGAATGTGACCAAATGAACCCGACTTCTCCTTAATAATCCAACACAAACAGACTTTACACTCTGCAATGATGCTGCAGAAAACTCCATGTATTTTGGTCGCTGCAGCCTTCCACTCATGTCACGTGATTCAAAACACAAACTGATTAACTGGTTGACCCACTTTTAAACCAGCCAACTCTGCCTACTCAACACAATCGATGAAAATCGATTATTAAAAGAGTTGGCAAAGAAATTCATTATTGATTCGTTGTCACGGGATTTATGMGTCCCTCGCCGTGTCACGGAGCCGATTAAACTAAACTGCACAATATACTGCAAATACATCATCATCGCAATATCAGTGTGCGCAATATTCATTGCAAAGGACTGCTTGAAGTGCAGTATTTGTTAATTATGTATTTGGAGAGTTTTGAAGTTGTATTTCTCATGTTAATGTAATATTTAGCCAGTAGGACAGAGTTTYAGCACAGGAAAAGCTCACACCAGACCTGGGTATCTGCAGGCTTTAGCAAGTCTAATTTAAAACTTTTTAAGACCTTTTTAACACCACTTGAATGAAATTTAAGACCTAAAATATAATTGATGTGTCGCTCAATAAAACACATTGAACATAAAGATATTCGGTGCTCTCTGGTTAAATTAGCTGTATTTTACAAGGTATGGCATACCTCTGCTCCACTGTCTGCAACATGAATGTGAACCCCTCGTTCTCCACCATACTGCAAGGCCGTTAAGTCTTTGGTGATGAAGCAGGTGATACACCTGGTTATTTTATTTATTTATTTTTGCCAGCTCTGAATTGGCGGACAGTTTGGTGAAGGACTGCAGTGTGTGTTGGTCTGCTGTTGATGCCTGGTTATGAGAGCCCGCACATTTGTTGTGTTCCCGAAATATTTGATCTTCATTTTGCAAACATTGCACACAATGAAGCTCATGTCAAGCTCGATCTTCCCCGGCATTTGGTAAAACCCAACAAAGACTGGACCGGTTGAATCTTTCCTCCATTTGTTTTGAAACTTTCCACGCATGCGCATGCGTATGTCCGAGAACCTGCTGCGTGGTGACGTCTTGCATAATTTTGTAATTACGCAAGACTCCACCGCAACTTCAGTGGAGACTTCAGCGTATTTGTTTTTTTTTTTAGAATCGATTCTGGGAAATTTTAAACCGATTTTGAATCGTAGTAAATGAGAATCTAGATTCTTACGTGAATCGATTTTTGGAACACCTCTAATGTTTATCATTTTACCAATGCACTAAGTTAGAATTAATTTCTATTTGCAGAATTAGTTCCTTTGAGAATGTCTTCTATAGCAAAGTCAATGTATTACTGCATGATATCCTGGCTCTAGACTAACTTTTTGCACTGGTTGCACCGGTGTGCCTAACTTTTCTTCTTAGGCGCACCAGCACAAAAGTTAGGTGCACCCAAATTTTCAACCACATCGCATTTAACATCAGAGTTTTACAGGTTATTTTTTAAATCACTGTTCATTAAGGCAACATTAACTCGAAAATAATTAGTTAACAATCTGGTAAACATAAAGTTCTTTATTTGAACCAGAATTTTAGACATTTAACTTACTGAAAAGTATTTAAAGTGATAAAATTTTAAGTGCAAATGTTTAAGAGCTGAATGTCTTATAAACATCTTAAACATTTCATGGTTAAATTGTTTTTAGACACCTGCCCCTCAGATGGACAGCTCCTGTAGTTTGGCCCTATGGACCTTTGGACTTGGATAAACCAGAATGATGAACAGAGATTTATGATTAATAACAGAAATATTACTGACATTTATTAAAAGGTTGTGCAGATTTTTTTTACACATAAAAGTCTGTAATTTCATCATTAGTTGAATCTTTTTATCTTATATTATTTCACTTAAATATCTAATATGTCTAGTTTTATCCTCCCGAGACCCAGAAGAACCTGTTTCAGATACTTGGAATGTAATTGTGGTGAAGTCGATTAAGTGTAACAGCGGCCTGCCATACAGGAGAGAGTCCTCAGGCTGCTGAAATGATCTGCAGCGCTCAGACCCCGACTGTTAAACTAACAAGATGGATGAGCAAGCAACCGTCCACATCTTGTTTTCATCTCCAGTTAACAAGAAAGAACTGTTTTTAGACTCCGATCTGGGATTAATAATAATAATAATAATAATAATAATAATAATAATAATAATAATAATAATAATAATAATAATAATAATAATAATAATAATAATAATAATAATAATAATAATAATAAGGTTGTTTCACTACGCGTGCGCGCACGTGTGTGTGTGTGTGTACAGATTTTTGCTTCATGGTGGGTATAATTATTGACCATTTCCCTGGTACACACAGTCTGGTGAGGTTAGGGTTTGGGTCAGGTGTGTAGTCTACCTGGTTTGGCTGTAGAATTGATGGGGAAATGAATGGACGCCAATGCAAAGTCCCYATGAGGATAGAACAACAAACGTGTGTGCGCGGGAGGTGTGGAGCGGAGCCGCGAGCAGAGCGCAGTGTTATTGGGAGAGATGGAGACTGTCGGCTGGCAACCATTGATACTGCTGGATTATTTTTTATGGAACATGGAAACTTTTTTTTCAGCGGACGACCGCTCCCCGTCGAACGAATGGTCGCACCAGTGTGACCGGACATTTGTTTTAGTCACACCATTAGGAAATCTGGTCGCATTTAGTTAAGGACATGGCTTAACTAAAAGCTCATCAACTCTAGAGCCATGTCCTTAACTAAATTAAAAATCAATCAAACTGAATCATGAATCGAATCGGACCCCTGTGAATCGAATCGATTTGGGAAATCTGAATCGATACCCAGCCCTACTTTAAGGCCTAATTTTAGATATGTGAATTTAAGRCTTTAAAGATTTTTAAGGACCCGCGGACACCCTGCAGACACAAACGACAACGTTCAAAAGGCTAAAAGTCACAGAGTACGACGTAAAGATTGGAAAGTGAGGAAAGAAAAAAGAAGGCACCTGATATCGTCATTGCAATTTCTACAAATATCGCCATATTTTCTAATATCGTGCAGCCCTAAATGACAGCATCCTCTGACGCTTCATCAAAAGCATAATACTGAACAGAACCAGACTAATGTAGCTCACAAAACACCTGAAGAAACAAACACTTCAACAGCAAAGAAAAACTGTTTTTTTTCTCAAAGTTTTCACAACAGGATGAGACTCTGTGACACAACTTCAGTCGTCTCACAGCTACCATTTATTACCCAGTGTTAAAAATCTATTTTTATTCAACACCTTTAACGTGTCTAAATTATAAAATCCAAAACAAAGTAAAACTGTTTATTTTTTTGTGTTTTTTTGAGTAAAACAACAAACAAAAAAAATAACTATTTGCTAAAACCCTACGAGCAGTTCGGACAGAAACATCAAGCTCTTTCACTCAGCGGGAACAGTGCAGCCGTTCACGTCTCACCTTTTTTCGAACGTTGCAGCGATGACACATCCATTCACCTGGGGGGAGCATTTCTTCACTCAGAGGTGGGTTGCTACAGTGAGACAAAACACAACCTTCAGACAACAAGCTCATTTTTAACGTAAAACATCTGATTTCAGAACCACTGTGACTGAATAAGAATTAAAGAATTTGAACTTTTTATATACAAGTGAAACTGAACACTGACTCCATCTAGTGGACAGAAAGCAGAATTACAACTGAAAGTGTGTCCAACAATTAAGAGTAATGTTTGTTTTAACACATTCTTTAAATGAAAACTGCTGACTTGTTTGTTTCATCATCATTATTTAATTTCCTGCAAAATAAGCATTAATCTTTTTTACAGTCACTACTACTCATGCTCAGTGTCAGTATTTTGCAATGCATTGTGGTCTAGATATATATTATTCATGTCTACTTCCTGTTCATTGAAACACTTAATCTAAGCAGTGTTTTATATCTACGAGTGTTTCAACCCTGCAGCCGTTCTGAGGATATTTCATTATCACAACTATGAATAACAATAAAACTCATTTATAAATACTTTTAGATAAAAAAAAACTCAACAAAAATAAGATTCAAAGGACCAACAGACTAGAGTTGAACCCCAACCTTGAATACCAGAATAGCTTTAAATGTATTTAAACATGTTATGTTTGATTTTACACATTAGTAAATTTAAAAAAACAAAAGCCAACAGAACAATGTAGCAACACAGACCCCTGTCATTCATCCTGCAAACTCACAATAATCATCAGAAGTCAGCTTGTACAACATCCTCTGCTCATCAGTACCGGATATGCTTCAACATCTAACCATGACATGCCTGCCCATATATGGGCATACGGCTTGGTTGTTTCCAGGTGACAGACCAGACTCCGTTAAATTTATGCTGCCAGATGTTGTGTACCACCTACAGCCCTGACAGAACCACATCTCACAGATGAGCTGCCGGACTCGGTCTCAGAAAACGGCACGTGTGGTTTCGGTGTTGCTGAATCTGAACGTAAAGGCGGGTAAGATGGCGCTGGAAGTGAAAACACAGAGGTCGCCATATTGTAAACAGAGGCAGACTCCATTTTTAGCTCCTCTCCGGCTGCAGCCGCGGTCAGCTTTAATTTAAAAACCGGTGAGACCGCAAACACTCGACTGCAACACTGTATATAAARCGGGTCATCCTTACATAAGAGAAGCTCTCAGTCTGTGCATAAACTTGTGTCAGAGCAGGGCTTCAACATACAGCTGAGCTGGWGGAGCTAACAAGCGATGCTAACTTTGAGATCATCGCTCACACAGTGAAACGTGGCGACACCATTCATTCAGCTGCTGTGTGTTGGCTGTGAAACTCTCTGCCTGTTGTTTATCCTGCTGTGAAACCGGCCTGTTGTTCGGGGTTTCTCACCAGCACTGCAGGTGGAAGGCGGCAGGACAGTGGTCGCAGCAGAGGAGGTCTCCCCCCTCCCGGCAGCTGTCGCAGGTGTCGTGGTTGGTGGCTCTGCCGCTCCTCCGGACGTCTCTCACCAGCTTCCGGCTCCTCTTCTCCACGTCTTCGGACTTTGGAGGCGCCAGCAGCGTTTGGATTTGCTGTAAAGGCAACACAGCGGGTTGGTGTCAGGTCGTACGCCGCCTTGTTGGCAGCAAAGCCGGGTTGTTKTTTTTTTTTTTTTTAGCTCACAGAGCGGCAACTTGTGGCCTCCACCACCAACTATAACTTATCTGAGCGAACAAGCTGTCATGATCACAATAAAGACAACAAAGATGCTAAAACAATAAGTTATGAGCTGTAATGTAGTGTTTCCACAGAGAGGCCTACACACAGCACCTCACCTCCATTAAGCCCCCAGAGGTATCCAGATCGTACACAATCGTCGGGGTCTCCATTTTGTCCCACATTCATCCAGGAGCCGACTTTGCAGAAAGGAACAGCGAAGAAAAAAGCTTCAGGACAGCCGACAGTGAGAGAAAATCCTCCAAAAGGGCTTTTATTAAATCCAAAAACGACTCCGGCCAGCCAAGCTAACGTTAGCCAGCTAGCTACGGAGGCTAGAACCAGTCAAGGTTGTGAAGCTAACGGGTTCCCTTGTTCTGGTGGACCAAATAAAGACAACAAAAGTGAAGAGTTATCTCGCGATAAACACGCTGACTTCGTGGCACCTCTTTTTACCGAGAATGCATCCAGTATTTGACCGTCGACTGAAGCTCGCTCACGGCGACGAAATCCACCCGCGGCCTAGCTGTTGARCCATGATTCTTCTTTCTGCTCCTGCAAAAAAGGAGCCCAGTAAACCTGCAAACCCCTCCGCTCCCATTGTTCACGCAACACCGAACAGAAGGTCCACTCCGAGGTTCGGCGTGTCGCCGTCCGCAGCACGGGGGGTCCCGACGGCGACCGGAATCGGTAATCCTCAGCTCAAAGACGCGGAGATGCAAATTTAGTTGATGTTATTGTKGGGGGAAAAAGGCATCTACACTGGCGGCTGCTGCCGCTGCTAGCAACATCCTCTGTTGGCGCAACCGCGAAACGCCGAACGCGCATGCGCAGTCCACACAGAGGCGCGACAGCTAGCATGTGGAGAAATGCTCCTTCCGACCAYTGGAAAAATACAAATATATACAATAAACAGACTATCAGTGCAGCTGCAGCAGGGAGGGATGTGTTTTTATGTTTATATGAGTGAAACATCTGTGGTTTTAGTGATGTAGAACTGATAAATAACGTGATTGTMCCTCTCTGAAGGCTAATTTGGGTAGCCTGCTTCGGTTTTGTACAGTTTTTCATCATGGTGTGTCAGAAATGTTTGTATTGTTTAATCAATTATCTTTAGGTGGCAGGAGCTGTTCTAAGACCTGATCTTTAAGTTGGGTTCAACCCCCAGGGTAGCTGGTATTTATTGACTCACCTGGGATAATATAATATAATATAATATAATATAATATAATTGA